CCCCAAAACCCCAAAACCCCAAAACCCCAAAACCCCAGGGCAGTAGAGATAGATTATAATAAATATTCATAATTGAAAATGCCAAAGAGTGGTAAACTTCTTAAAGAGAGTGGAGGCAAGAGAGTCCCAAAGGTAAAGGACTACGAACTCCTTGAAAAGATTGGCAAAGGATCCTTCTCCAAAGTATTCAAAGCTAGGAGTACTAAAACCGGAGAGTACGTTGCCATCAAAAGGATTCATAAGGAAACGCTGGAGAAATAAACTCGGAAGCAACTCTAATAACTCTGACGGGGATGGAGACAAGCTCAGTGCAAACTCGAAGGATATCCTACAAAGAGAACTAGTGATCTTGATGCAAATTAACAATTGAAAGAATATCATCCAAATTAAAGATGTTACAAGGACTAAAGACCATTTCTACATTATTTTCGAATATTGAAAGGGAGGTGACCTAGCTGGATATTTAAAGAAAAGAGGCAAACTTCCTGAGAAAAAGACCAGACAGTTTATGAAGCAAATCGCTAGTGGACTCAAGCCGCTTAATAAACTAAAAATTGTTCATAGAGATCTCAAGTTATCCAACTTTCTGCTAAGTGATGACTCAGAAAATCCCATAATAAAAATATGTGATTTCGGGCTTGCAACACAGAAAAAGAGTCAGGAGCAGAACTTGATGTTTGACACAATATGTGGGACTCCGATCTACATGGCTCCAGAAATTCTTAAAGGTCAAAAGTACGATGCCAGGGCTGATCTCTGGTCTTTAGGAACTATCCTGTACGAACTCTTAGTAGGGTCACCTCCATTTAAAGGAAAATCACTTGCCGAATTAGTTGAGAAGGTCAACAAAGGAAGCTACTTAATCCCAACAAGCGTGAAACTTTCAGAAGAGTGCATTAACTTGATCTCAGGACTCCTCAAATCAAACCCAGACGAAAGATTTACCTGGGACTGCTTCTTCAATCACCCATTCATCACAGAACCAGATAGCGACGAAGAGATCAAGGAAGAATCCGAAGCTAGTGAAATAGATTCCCAAAAGATTTCCTTCATCAAAAAGGTGTCCCAAGAAAAGGCAGCTAAAGCTATTAGAGACAATAACTGACTTATCACAGAAGAAGGGAGTGAATCTGACTTCAGAAGTGAGAGAATCTCAGATGTTCTTAAAGAAGAGAAACTTAAAAGGCAGCAAGAAAAGTTCCAGGATGAAGAAGATAAGGAATCCCTCTCAGATGAGAACAGCGATAAACTCGCTCTAAAATCCAGTAGTACCGAGTACAACTTCTACAATTCTGATGAGAGTAGAGGGCAGTCAATGTTCAGCTCCAACTCATCGAACATTCAACCTCGAAAAAGGACCTTTAAAGAGTCGAAAGGTCTGAATAATTCCTTAGGGATCGTAAAGGAGGTCTCAAACAATGCGATTGAGGAAGACCCTGAAGAGGACATCAATACCTCCAAAGATAAGTCAATATCAGAAATTGCAAAGCCGAATGAAAATGTCCAAAAAGATGGCCTTGTTGAAAGCAGGAAAGATATCTCTGATTCAGCAACAAAATCTGATGGTGATAAGATTATAGAATTCATGAAAGATCTCATCAACCGCTGTGAGCTCATCATGAGCTTCTACACCGAAAGGAAGAACTTTGAGATTATACCACAGGAGAAAGAACTGGCATATCTGCTTAATAAAATTTGTTATGACTTGAAGGTTTTCATAACCACTTTCACTAACTGTAAGAACATTAAGGAGGACACCTGACTCCAAATAGTGTCAGAAAACAATGAAAAAGTAGAAGTTACACCAGAATTATATCAGATATTGAAGGCCAATTCAGAATTTAAGAAAATGAAACTGGCCATTGTTAACCATTTTATGTCTCTTAGCTCAGAAGTAGAGAAGACGTACGATCTATTACAAAATAAAGACATTGATTTCCAGAAAATATCAAAAGAGTTATCAAAATTTGCTATAGAGCTATTCAAAGAAGCAGCCATCCTTAGAGGTGATGGTAAGAGTGAAGAAGGAGACAGAAAAATCGCTCAGGCAAACTTCCTATTCAATGAAGCTTACGCTGAACATAAAAATTCAGGTATTGGTTAAAAATATATTATAGACCTTGGAAACGAAAACGAGGGCTCATGTCATAACAAATCTATTGATGAGAGGAGAAATATCAAAACTCTCGCATGAAGAAACAGCTTAGGAACCTCAAATTCAAATGATCCCATTCCTGAAGTCCCCAGCTTCGTTAATGACTCTTCAGAGAATGAATTTGAAGATTTAGGCAAGGATATCACATAATATTTCATTTCTTTAGTTCAATATTACTTTAATGCTTTGGGGTTTTGGGGTTTTGGGGTTTTGGGGTTTTGGGGTTTTGGGG